CTTGTCTTTGTGTAGTGTCATATTGTTTCGTTCAGACCATTTATGACACTATTCAGATACGTCTTGTTCACAGGTTATCGAAATCGAAACAAGAGTGTCGTCTGCAAAGTATCTGATGATGGATTCAGTTATGCAATGCTCGATAGTTGAGCATTTAGCTCCTTCGGAAGCCGAGATATCTTGTACAAAGTGCTGTAAGTGCTATAAATCGCGAGAGCGAAAATAGGTGCGGCTACATAATTCAACAACCTAATGTCTCAGGACTGAAATTATGCCTCATTCCCTACATAAGTATATAAGTACTTGACACCATAGAATGGTATCTATAAACAGTAAAAATACATAGTCAAGGCACAGGGGGTATTTTAATAATGTTGGGGCAATTTGGGGTATTTTGGGGAATGCCTTAGTGGATTTTGGAAATCCCCCATAATAGAGCCCCCCATAATACCCCAAAGTACTCCAAAATACCCCTTGGATTCCCCCACGATTGTTTTCAAACTGACCGGTTTTGGCATTTGGTACAAATCTAACACAAATTATGATGAAGCAAGACGTTGGCTAGTTTTGGGTCAGGATATTGGGCGAGAGCACAGATCCTAATGTGCTAAACTAATGGTATGCGCTCATTAAAACAGTATAAACTATATGCTCATTGACATGGGACTCACTGTCTACAAGTTGGTGGTTTAGAGCTGCTTTACTGTTTACTAAGCAACTTGGTAGGTACCTTGAATAATTAAAGTGGTGGAAGAGTTGGCCAATACAAAGCGATCACCCAGTCTGCACTGGACGCACTTTAAACTGTACTAAATCCTTGGCTTAGAAGATAATTCTGTCCTTCAAGAGTGCTAGCGATCCTGGTAAATAGCAGGTCACTATAATATGCAGAGACTACAGTCTGTTCACTTCAAATACTGACATGACAGCTACAAACTGCTTTAAACTTCCACAGTACGGTAGCATGTCTTATACACTGCATTGGGCAGAAACTGTGGCCCCGTTATGAGGGCTATACTTTGATTGTTAATTGGGATCACTGACCGAAAAGTGCTATATCTTACAGCTTTATATAATAATAATAATAATAAGTAGGAATTTATACATCGCTTTATAGCCATAAAGAACTCAAAACCCAAAGATTCAGTTCAAACCATCTAAAGCGACTCATGAGTAACATGTACATAAGAACTTATTTTTATGAAGTATGGATTTTATGGCACTATCCGTCGCGGAGTCGAGTCCGCGGCGGAGCCGCCGGACTCCGAGCGGACTCCGGCGGAGCCGCCGGACTCCGAGCGGACTCCGGCGGAGCCGCCGGACTCCGAGCGGACTCCGGCGGTGCTCCGCCAAAATGTATTTACAGTGGACTCGAGTACATTTTGGCGGACTCCGAGCGGAGCCGAGCGGACTCCGAGCGGACTTTAAAGTCCGCCGCGGACTCCGAGCGGCTCCGCGGCGGCTCGGTGGAGTGTCCGCCGCGGACTAAGCCACTAGGCGGACTCCGGTCCGCCGCGGACTCCGGCGGAGTGCTTGGCGGACTCCGCCGGACCTCTCCGCCAGACTTGAATCCGGCGGAGTCCGGCGGAGCTTGGCGGACTCCGCCAGCTCGGCGGACTCCGCTCGGAGTCCGCCGGATTCCAACAGAGTCCACTGACTTCCGAACTCCGTCTTCCGACCCTCGGCTAAATTTGTCACGTGACATACAACATAGCATTTTGCAATATTGTGGTCAGATGAAAAGGTCGCTAGTGATAAACCTTAACCATTACCCTCAGAATGTCAATAGTGTACAACTCTAGTACTAACTTTGACCCTATAATGTATAAACGTTGACCCTAACCCTCCACCAAACCGTCCGCAGCGAAATATCAATGTCATTGACAGGTCACGTGACCAAAACAATTTTTGTCATATTATCTCATATGGGGAAGCGTTTTTAGCAAGCAAAAATACGTCGACCATCACAGGACGACGCCAGCCAGCACTCTCTACGCTCTTCGAGCTCCGATCGTCCTGTGACGAAGTAAGGACGAAGCCTGAGGTCCTCAGGTAACATCGACCACCGATTGAAAATTCAAAGATTTTTGACATAAAGGTCAAATGTAAAATTAAAATCTTGATGTTGATTGATTGACGACGTCAATTTTTGAGCACAGCGCGAGCGCATGCGGAAAAGGACCGCGTAGCTAGTCAAGATGTTGATAAATATTTGGCTTGTGGCGCGATGTGTTGCTCTAACTATAGCCCTCTCGCTTGCAGTAGCACGCGACCGCCGGAGGCGGAAATGACCTGGTTAGCTAGGTAAACGCGATGTGTCTTGTAGGATGAAATCCTACTAGCTGACGCCATTCGCAGCTGTGCTGCTCGCTGTACGTCAGCGATCGAAATTTATACGCGTATATCCCCCGTTAAGATGTGCCACTCGACGCGCCACACAATTTTTCTCGTTGCTCGTCGCACGTCGACGAACAACGAAGCTCGTTGCGACGCGCCGCGCAATGAGCTGCCAGGCTAGGACATCGTCCTGGTCCAACAACAAACAAATTTTGGCGAGCGATTTTCTCCAAAAATTTAATGAGGGCGCCGACTTCCACTCTGGCTAGGTTTCTTCTTACCCAGCGCGCGTTCCTTAATGGGATGAGGTAAAATTAGGTAAAAAGAATCCACTGACTTGGCCAGAGTGCTTTCATAAAACTCTATTACTAGCTTAGCGTTGTAGGATTATATACTTTAATTTCGGATCGAGTGAAGCGAGTGATACACATTACTAGACTTTGATTAAACTCATGCTGATCACAATACAGTACAGGGAAGTGGGTAACACGGCTTGCAGTCGCAGCTGCGGCTACCTCGCTGGCGGTAATATTTCAATGAACAAGAATTAAGAAAAAGAGAATTTAAGAAAAAGAGAATTTTATTTGCCACAGAATAATCAATACATATAATATACTTCAAAAAAAACTTCAAAATATATTGTTAGTTCATCTATCGTTCATAAGATGGGGTACTCTCAATAATCAAGTACATGAGTACCCGACCCGCCGCGCCACGCAAGCACCACACTGCAATTGAAATTGGAGATGTAAGCATAATGGGCGCGGGGGCGCCGCGCACGTGGATCGAGCCGGCCCACGTACCCAAATTGCAAATGCAAATGTACATGTCACAATGTCACACTCACAGTCACATTTATTAATTTCTACACAATTTATTCATTATACTTATCTGCCCACGAGTGCTGGTATCAGTTTGTGTCTTAAAACACTCTCTAGTGGTCTGAATAGTTCTGCTATGTTGGGAACAGTTCTTTGAAGGTATTGCCATCTGCAATTTACTCCTTTAGTGTATGCAGCTAACGCTGCCTGTGGCTCATCGGCAGCAAAAGTAAAAAGTTTCTCTATATCCTTTACCCATTTCTCTACTTTCTTTTTGACATGATATTCCTCCTTGAACCTAGGGGTTCCGATTACCGCTCCGAGGTAATAATATATGTATTATTACCTCGGAGTCCGCCGCGGACTCCGGCGGAGTGCTTGGCGGACTCCGAGCGGAGTCCGCCGAGCTGGCGGACTCCGCCAAGCTCCGCCGGACTCCGCCGGATTCAAGTCTGGCGGAGAGGTCCGGCGGAGTCCGCCAAGCACTCCGCCGGAGTCCGCGGCGGACCGGAGTCCGCCTAGTGGCTTAGTCCGCGGCGGACACTCCACCGAGCCGCCGCGGAGCCGCTCGGAGTCCGCGGCGGACTTTAAAGTCCGCTCGGAGTCCGCTCGGCTCCGCTCGGAGTCCGCCAAAATGTACTCGAGTCCACTGTAAATACATTTTGGCGGAGCACCGCCGGAGTCCGCTCGGAGTCCGGCGGCTCCGCCGGAGTCCGCTCGGAGTCCGCTCGGAGTCCGGCGGCTCCGCCGCGGACTCGACTCCGCGACGGATAGTGCCGATTTTATGAGAGAGGTAATACATGATACTTATACAAATACGTTTTCAAAGAGATGAGTTTTTAGTTTCTTTTTAAATAAGACGATATCAGTTAGTGTTCTCAATTGATAAGGAAGCTGATTCCAAACAGAGGGTCCGCAGTAGCTGAAACTTCTCTCGGTTTTACTATAGTTTGAAATAGGAGGAACATTTAGGATATGATATCATGGCTTATAGAATGAAAATCTTCTGAATCGAATATCAAATCACCAATCGCCATGGCAATTATTTGCAGGTTTGTTTGATCATTTCAAGCATGGGTGAGGTCAGTAACATTTTATTTCTCCAATCGAGGGCTTAACATATATTTGTATAAATATATAACGTACGATACCGTATAATACAGGTAATTCCTTAACTTAACACTGTTATCAACCCAGTGAACCCACTGATCGCGATCTATGAAAAAATGTTAGCAGCGTTCTAATAGACCGAAATTTGGGAGACTGGATCGCGAGGTAAAAAGCCTCATCAGGCTCAGCACTATTACAGAGTAATATTGCTTTGATTGCAAGATTCATACAGAAGAGGAGTGAACAGAAATCTGTGAACTTGGGTCGCTTTTGACCGGGTCAAAATTTGACCCGCCTGTTTCTAATCACTGATTTATAACCATATAATATCGACATCATTGCATGCATGTCCGCGCGTCATGCAGACCGGCTATCACTGAGCCGCGCAAACGAAGCTTTAATCAACTTGAAGTATTCGCGCGCTACAAATATTCGTTCGTTTTGAAGCTGAAGGGTCTCCAGCCACAATACTTGGCCCATGGTCTATTGGATATTTAAATAATGAAACCTGGATCAATTTATTATGCAAAAGAGAGGTATAAAGAGAGAAATAAACTGTGGCCAATTACATTGCACTCTGCCGAAAAGTAATCCCTAGTGGCACGAACAGGATTTATAAGGGTATGAGGGCTGCGTGCCGGTCTTTCATCAGAAAATGCCACCATGACCATTGCATTAGGAATTTAGTTCGATGCTGGTGCAATCAGCTAGATTTTGAAAATTCAAACAACCTTTTCGGCTATATAAATCAGTATTTGAGTACTTACATATCAAGAATTCAACGATCATATTTTGTGTAAGTTTTTAACCGAACAGCATAAGCTTGTGACAGCAATTTCATTAAACAGTATATTCCCCATCATTTTGACATATTCACAGATTGATTTACAGTATCAATGGTTTAAGTTTAAAACTGCTAGCAGTAAAATCATGTTATTAATGATAATATATCGATATAAGTCTCAGCTTTATTTTTCATAAGCATGCACCTACACACATGTATAAAGTAATCAAAATCTAAATGAATGCTTGAATAGTTTGACGAGCTTGACTTGTTTCAGAGTGTGAGCGACGGGGCAACAAGAATTACTCCCGCATTCAATAGTGAGAGTAGTCAATTGTAGCTCTAAGATCCTGGCAGAGCACCTTGTCAATGTGGAGAGATTTAGTTTTGATTCGGATGTCTTCTTTCAGGTCAATCTGGTTTCTGATGAGACCTTTCAGACTTGCCTCAGATGCCTCAAGCTGAGATTCAAGAGCCTGAAGAGAAGAGATGGTTTATTAATATTCTAGGACAAGCCTTTGCAATATTATTGACTGTGGAAAAAAGAAGTTTGAAATATGCTCAGATTAAAAAAATATCAAGCAACCAGAACTGCTATTATAAATAAGTAGTCCGTGTTGAATGTTTATAAACATAACGAATTATACACTCACAGCGATAGCACTCTCAATAAGTTTCACTTCGTTGACAAGCTGGTACTGGGCTGGATCACGAGTAAGCTCAATATTGGGGCGCTGACTACGCTGAGCAAGACGTGTGTGCGCTACTTTCAGTGGAGCTAGCTTCTCATCAATAGCTGCTTTAAGCTGGGATATGTTGCCCTCCATGCTCTCTATTTCCTTCTCAACCTGGGAGAGTGATTGGTAACATTGCTTGATATGTTTAATGTGTGCAGCAAGACCTTGAGGACATCTTAGCACCTTACTTTTATTTCATTAGAAAATCGTAACTTCTGTTTCATCAAAAAATGTTCACATCTCCCACAAGAGTACGATATATAACCTTGTCAAGGTGGCCAGTAAGGCGCTCCTTAGCGTTGGAGCACTCCTCAACACGCTTCTTGAGCGCTAAGTCCACGTTCCTACACTGCGTAAGGAGATCGTTGCGCGTCTGCTCGATAACTCCAGCTATGACGCTGCGCAGTGTTACTGACGCCTGCTTCTCGCATTCTGCCTTCTTGATGTTGGCATCAGAGTAGTTACTCCAATCTGCAGGCATCACTGCACTGAAATTTATACGAGTTAAAACAGAAATGGAGCTCCTACGTGTCCAGTCCTTCAGTTCCGGTTACACTCTCTTTAATTGGTTGCTTGATATCAAGCTCCTGCTACACAAGGTCCCTACTGATGAAATCGTCTATCGAGCCACACTCAATTTTATGAACACAAGCCCTGGTAACACTAAACTTATTTTCTGACCCAGAAGTTTCCATCCTCCAGCCTGGTCTGATCAGAAACCCAGAAATAAAGTGCCATAATGGTGGACCTCTTTATAAGCGAGATTCGCTAATCACTTAATAATTTAATAGCAGTAAAAGTGTTACTTTTAGTAGTTTAGAAGTTTCCGGTTAAAACGTGACCGACGATAGAAGATTAAAACCTGATAGCAAACCATTATAACATATCAACATGCAAGATATGTTTAAAAGTGGAGGACTCATGGCAACGTAGCACAAGTAAGAATATTTTAAGATATTGCTTAGCCTGCAGTGCAGTGCAGAGTGCTAATATTTACAGTGAACTTGATCTAAATTTAATGCTTGGTGGCAAGCAGGAGTGTCCACTGTAAAATTCTATCGAGATAATGTATTTTAGTATCTTACAACATTATCCAACAATTTAGGGTCCCTTCCATTACCTTCCATTGCTTCTACTAGGTTCCATTTTAAGATCCGGTGATTCCGGATTTATATATTGAATTACTCAAGACTGAGGACAAATTTTCGAATTTCTATCCATTTATTACATTGCTCCAATACCTTGGCTAAGGATTATAATCATCTTCAGGAAGCATATTTCACCCATATGTTAAGGTGTTGTGTTTCATCAAACAAGACTTATTCATGTTATTGGGTACGATGAAAAGTAAATACTTAGTCTCTGTCCTCCACTCTCCAGGAAATGCAGTTCACGGATAAGATTAAGTTAGGGCTGGGATTATTTAATTTGTTTAGGGCTTTACCATAGTTACTAATTGCAAACATGAGAAGGGAAATTAGGAGAGAAGAAGCTGCCGACCAACTGGCGCTTAATGATGTAATTGACTTGACAAACGTAACGATCAGGTGCTGAGTACTCATGGTTGTAATTGTAAGCTAAACAGATGGTTAAAACATTGGTCAGACTCACTGAAAGTGCTGTGGGAGCTTGAGAATTTTCAATATTGTTATAATTATGGCGAATCGGTGTGTCTGTGTGGATCAAAATAGCAACTACTAGGTGACCACTTACATTTTACATTTTGTGTATTCATGTACATTGTATAAGTAGGTATAAAGTTGCAGGAAAATGGCTGAATTGAGTTAAGGTATCAAATCTTCACATCAATTTCGCAAGGTAAATGACATGGTTGGTATATTGCACCACCACCCAACTTTAACGGTTGTATTTTGTAATAAATATGTAATTAATAACCAACCTGACAAGATCTTGGGTGACACCCTCATACAGGTTAATATCGGTATCTTTGTTGTTCAAAGTGTGACAGGAATTGTCGATTGAAATAGCAGCATTCTTATCAGCAACATCCTTCTGCAGGAAGTATTTAGCAGATCTCAGTCTCCTGATCTGCTCAACTGTCTGCTCCAATGTTCGTACCAACACAGACCTCACTCCTTCAATTACTTCCACCTCCTGTTAGCAGATTAATACGTGAGATTGCATTCTTTAGGTCGAGGTTACGAGGAACCTAAATCTAATGAGACTAAAATACTGAAGGTAACGGTTGTATTCAATAAACTTAAATCAATTTCAAGGACAATTTCTAGTGCCTATGCTATCTTCATTCATTGAAACTTGACGTGCTGTGAAAGTCCACTTGAACTTGAGCAAGCAGAATTTTAAAACGTATAAATGCTTGTGAATATGTTATTATCAGATCACGATTGTCACAAAATGCGTATCGCGGTGCAACATTTTGCATGTAACTTGAAATTCTAAACGAGCTTTAGATCGGTTTAAACAGTTAAGAATTCAACACCGTGGTAAACTGAATATGTCGAAGATTGCTGAGTATGGCGTATGCTGATGTAAGTCGACTGTTATAGTGTGCAGAATATTAACGATGGTGGAAATCAAATATTAGATGACCAGCCCACTAAATAATAAAATAACTGATTCAAGAAAGACTGGAGTTCAGCTATCTAACTTGAAGCTGCCCGCCTGGTACCTAAAGTAATATTTATCTCCAAAAAAAAGGTTACAAACAAATTTGTTTCTTACTTTAAGCAGGTTGATCTCAACGTCGTCCTGAACCATGTCGATAGCTTCCCGACCTTGTCTGTAAGTAAGGCAGCTGGTAGTAACACTCTGAGGATGCTCCGTGGATTCTAGAGAGTTCTCCAAACTTCCTTTGTATTTCAATAGTGTGTCGATCTCCTTGTCAACTGCTTGCAGTTGTGATTGAACCTGTCGAATATCGTCTAGTCACAATTGTCGACACGACTATAAATAGATTTAGTAATATCGTAAAACGCAAGTCACTTTCGATAACCAGCAATTCCAGGGTTCTGATTGGATTCTTACAACATATAATGTCAATGACTCAATAGATATTTGTCTCAATTGAAGTGTGGGAGCCAGGATGGAAACTTCTGGATCTGAGCAGAAGTTTAGCATCGCCAGAAATTATCAACTGTAAAGTGGCTTCCTTAGACTGGTTGCAATCCGATCGAAACCGTACCTACCCAGAAAAACTACAATACTTTAAAAATTTCGATATCAAAATATTTTACCTCATCTTTCCAGAAGTTGAGTTCACGGAGTCTTTGAGCTAACTTTTTGTTTACATCCTCTTGGGTGAAGCGTGTTATCTCGTCCGTCTCATCAGTAAGACGTTTGCTCTCGCTTTGAAGGCGCTCAGCGCTTGCTCGCTCTGTTTCAGCACTATTATAGTTCTTGTTGTTACTCTTGTGCCACTCAAACGTGGAGTATTTTGGCGGAGCCTTAACAAGTTGAGCCATCCCCACTAAAAATAGGGAAGTGGGTTAGGAAAACAGCGATTAAATTACCATCATAAACGTTAGTACGTGCAAGATAAAAGCTAATCGGACTTGCATACAAACCAACAAGATACGCTAGCAACGAGTAGAAATGTTATGTGACACTGTACAACATGTAGTTATAAGGGGTTGCCATGACAACCATTCTAAGAGAATTACATCACTGTGAGTCCGAGTAACAGTAATCAGCTAAACGGAGCTAGTTATCTGGTCTGTAGAACTGTCTCCCCCGCGGACTAATTAGTTGATTACTTGATTAATCGACCATCGGTCTTCTCCTGCACGTATTATGTTTTATATGGCAAGGACAAGTTCTATTCTTCGCATGCTAGGTTCGTGCATCAAAGGCTTATGATTTGAAGTTAAACTAACGAACATCATAATAAATAACATAAAAGATTGAAAATAACTTACTAAAAGAATATGTAATATACAACTTCTATTTTACAAACACTCAGCTCAATTTACAAAGAATTTAAAACATAGAATTTCCATCTGTTCAGATAATTTAATCTCCCCTATTCATACATCAAAAATCTTTAATAACCCAAAATCTTTACCCAAATTTTCATGCAATTCTTACTTTGATATAAATAAACCAGCTTATTATCGAGTTAAAGAATAAAATTACGGTTGGATGGTTTTTTTCCAAAAATGAAAGAAATTTAGAGTTTAAATTGTGTTAGTCAGAGAGTACACATGCAAGATCAAATCCCAATTACTTTTGGGCTAAAAAGACCCAGTCTAAAACTTAAAAACTAGATTCCTGCAAGTCTTCTGAAGTTTTAAAACTGTTTTGATTTCGAGAGAAACATGATTCTCAATTAAATTGTAACAGGTTAAGTGGGAACAGCAGTTGCTTTTTTGGCACGAACCTTGCGTGGGATTGGAGCAGAAAGCTCATTTATACGCTGTGAAGCCTGTGCAGCCTTAGCACCAGCAGAAACTTTCCAGACATTTGGATTTTCCTCAAGCTCCTTCCTATCTTTTGGTCGAGCCAGTTGAGCAACATGTGCAGAAGCTTTAGCTTTCATAGTTTTGGGATTAACAATACTCTGCACAGGGCATGGCGGCAGATAAGACTGATGAGTCTGTTTCTCTTGGGCCAAAGTTTCAATTCTTGTGGAAGCAACTGCCTTCAGGGCGGCCGGATTGATTGTAGAGATCCCCTCATTGTAAGGAGTTTCAGTTTCTTCCATCACAACATTTGCAGCACCTTTCTTGGGAAGTGATAATTGACTGAGACGTTCTGAGGCGTTGGCCTTCATTGCACCTGATTTTACAACAGTTTGCACGGGGCGACCCTCAACCCAATCTCTATGGATTGCCTTTGGTCGGGCAAGATTCTCCACAACTGTAGACGCAGCCGCTTTTTGGGCAGATGGTGTCACAGGCCACTTTGGGGACGGTCGGTCCTGAGCAAAATCATAGTGGTACGGTTTGGGCTCGCACAATTGTTCCAATCTATCGGTGAGTATAAACTTTGTTGGTTCTTGGTGATTGGCTTTGACAATCTTTGACTCAGAATATACTGATCTTTTGTCCTCAATAAAACCAGCCGGTAACGGCTTCGGTCGAGCAAGATCGCTTATGCGTCTATACTGTTTTTGAGGGGGTTCGCACATCGCCATCTCTCTGCGCATGAACAGAGGTTGTTACAGATAATTAGGAATTCCTCAAAATACAGGCAAATGAATCAACTAATAAATCCACAGAAATGAAAATTATCAATAACAAAATTACTGCTAAAGGGATTTCTGTATAAAAGAATGCCATCCACAAAGTAAATACGATAACGACATATAAAAATCGGGGGAAAACGACACCTTCGGTTATATATGACTACAACTAAAAGGGGTGAAAACTGCCAATCACGAAGTTAATAGGACAAGGAAATGTCAAAATCAGCGAAAACAAGACTTTGGGTTATTTGTAATTTGTGCAGATTTATATTCGACTAACAAGATGAGATCGTAAACAAAACAAAAAACGTAAATATGGATATCTGTAGCGATAACTTCCTGCTCTCGCTACGTTTCTCTAGCTTAGCCGTCGAGAAAGTTACAAATCTTGAGCGCGCAAATCCATGCGTATCCAGGACGATGTGCTCCTTTATCAAACTTTTTAAAGAAAAACATCAATGGAACTAAAGAGAATGCGCGGCGTACTACAAAATATCGACGCGCGCAGTGAATTCAAATGTCAAAGTTTACGCTATTATTTTTGTTTAATATATATATGTACGGATTTTTGTTTAGGGCCAAAACAGATTGCTAAATCATGTTAAGACATCCGATTTACAAACTGAGTCCATGAGGTTGGACCATATTTATTGGCCGTTAAAGTATATGCATTTACAGCAGCACTTATTATTTGTGCACAGTGCATTATTGTGCTTGCTTTTAATTTTCGATTTGCTTTCAAAGAAGCAAATTATAATAAGTACCGTATGCTTTCTAATATAAAATAGGCATTTGCATTCAATGCATTAATTATTAATCAATTTTACCAAATCGCTTGCCCGCGCCCAAATTTTTAAAAATTTTGTGCATTGTGAAAACAATAAATAATGATGAATAATTATAAACAGTATAAATTAAAATAAAAATAATTCCAATAATTGTAATTGTACATATTTAATTTTAATTTGGACACTGATAATTCCAATTTTGATCATGATTCCAAATATTACTCGACTCCGATCCCATAACTTAACCGATGACGCGGCGTATATATAGTTGATAGTATTATATAGTTGATAGCACTATATAATAATATTATTATTAATAATAGGGTTACCGTGTACCGGTTGCCGTTAATAAAAACGAGCGTGCTAAATCACTTTACAGTCGATCTTCGAGATTGTTCTAAAAGGGCCTTGTCATACGTTGTATGACCCGCCGCGCATGTGGCATGGAACCTAGGCGCGTTTAAAAGAATTTGCGCAATTCATTTTAAAACGTTCACTTTGAAAAACCATAACTCTCCACCAATCAAGTCAAATTTCAATTTTAAAATATCAAAAGAAAGTAGAGAATTTTGCCGACAAGATGGATGGGTAGGTAAAAACGCGATCTTCGCCCTCAAAATCGACTTTTAAAACTTCATACATTTTCCACCGAAATTATACGTCTTATATCGCAAAACATCCCCCTACCTCCCTGCAACTCCCCCCCCCCCCTTCCACTTCTCCCCCCCCCCCCATTCCTTCTGCTTTCTTTTGCAGCTGAAATATGAATTCTCAGCTCTCTCGCCTATAACGAGTGCGCGGCTCCCCTGTATCGTCAGGACGACCACCATAGTGAAACGACCATGGGGGTCGCAACGTGATACAAAAAGGGCCCCCGACAGTTGAAACAAACTTCAATCGATGTACGAGATATTGGCGAAAAACTGTCTCGATCACGTGATATGACCGTATAAGGAAGTTAGTCTAATTTCTCGTTAAGGTTAGGGTTTCAGCATATGCTTTTTTAAGGATTGGGATAGGGTTAGGGTTGGGATCAGATTAAAGGGTTAGGGTTTCGAATATTCGTTCAGGACCAGCTAGAGAACGGGTTGAAAAAGTCACGTGACAGTCGAGTGTAGAGTGATTAATCATCATCCTAATAAAAATGCCTCTGAGAATTTATGGGAAATAACCTGTTTTGTCATGACCATGTGACAGGCTACATGTGACAGGCTAGTAAAGCTCCAATTTGATTGTTCAGGGTTATAGATTTATTAGATTTAGAGTTGTGCTTAATTGTTATACTTATACTTATAGTGGTCGGGGTTGTGGTTTTAAGGTTGTGGCTAGGGTTATGGTTGGCTTCGGTTAAGATTAGGGTCGGGTTAATTTTTTTTTTTTTTTTTTTTTTAATTTTTTTTTTTAATTTTTTTTTACGGCCAGGTAGCGCAGTTGGTTAGAACGCCTGTCTTACAATCGTTAGGTTGCGAGTTCGAAACCCACTGACTGCCTGGTCGTGGGGTGAGCGTCGTCGACGCTCAGCTAAGGATCATGAGTGGTCTATGCAGCCCCCCGGTCTACTCAGCCGAATACTCGAGAAATCGGGTGTGAGGGTTAAATGAGGAGCTGCACATTGCAGCAAAGTCTCGGACGAAGAAAGTATGGTACACACTACCTTAACCGTCACTGGCCAAAAAGATCCTTCGGCTTCCTGTAATTGGCTGGTTGCACTTGTGTAACATTGTGGCTGTTGGAATACACCGAAGTAAAATAAGTGTCTAGATTAAAAAAAAATGTAAAACCGGTTTGTTCAACTTCAAATCAAAAATACGTAAATTCAAGTTTGTTTCGACTGCCGAGGAACGGGACTCACTAAAAAATTCCGAAGTTCCTGTACCTGGCTTTGCAGTGTAGACTGTTATATAGTAGAGTGATTAAGCACGCTCGGATAGATAAACAGTTAAGAATTATAGTCATAGAAGCCTGCCTGAAACTGAGTGAAACGCGTTTGTTCTTTTAGTTTTACAATTAGGTACTAGTTTTTGACAATTGATAACAATGTCTTCACTTTCAGTAATCAAATTGCGAGATCAATAATTTATAACTGATAACACAACTAGTAAGGAATAAATTAATATTTAGAAAAGTTAGAATCCCAGATAAGCTAATTATAGATATAAAAGTAAAACAGTGCACACGTTACAAATACAAAATATCGTATTCGTAATCGGTAACACGCAGTCATACACTAAATGCGAAACACTCACAATCAACTTTCTATTTTAATACTATGAGATTTAAAAGGCCCAGTCCGTTATATAAGCGAATAAAATTCCCATTTCCCCGTGTGCCGTGATAAAAATCTGTAAAAAGTATAATAACTTTTTAAACAATTCAGGACTAAATTAACATAAATGTCTTTCAATTGATTAGCTTTCTCAAAACAAAGTGTAATCAGGAAAGTTAAATATCTTGATTGAGATCAGTTTGGTTTTTAACAAGGTTGAAGTAGGTACCCTCCTTTATGATCAGTTCGTCGTGCGTGCCTTTCTGAAGAGATATGAATCATTATTTTATTGTCCTGATATCTACAATATTGGTTAGATGTCAAAGTATAACCTTTCAAAAACCTCTTCGAATTCAATGGAGATTTCACTCAATGAAATCATTTTGGTTGAAGGCGGGGGGAAACAGATAATCGACATTTTTAAAAAAAGTTTTTTGTTGTTGATTTGATTTGATTTGAAAGTCATCTAAAACGTCTGACATTCTTGATTCTGACAATTTTCTCTAGAATAGCGAAAAATTCTCGTTATATCCGTTTCCAAATATCACAACAAGCGCTCCCGACTAACCTCAACAATCTTCCCTTTGTTGAGGACGACAATGCAATCAGAGTTCCGAACAGTGGACAGGCGGTGAGCAATAACAATAACAGTCCTCTCAGAACACAACCTCTGAAGAGCTTCAGACACGACCCTCTCACTGGAGGCGTCCAGAGCGCTGGTAGCCTCGTCCAGTATTAATACAGCTGGGTTCTTCAACAAGGCCCTGGCTATTGCAATCCTGGGGACAACTCTTGTTAGGATGTAAGAATTAGTGATGAAAGTGTGTTACCAGATAAGACACGTTATCTTGAACAAATTATAAAAGATTCGAACAAAATTAACCGCCATTTTGGAAGCTATACTTAAGAAAGTAACTGACCTTTGTTTCTGACCCCCAGATAGGGTAGTACCTCTCTCCCCGACTAAAGTATCATATCCCTCGGGGAACTCTGATATGAAGTCGTGCGCGTTTGCTGCACGTGCAGCTCGCTCTATTTCCGTTTCACTGGCAGATGGTGCTCCGTACTTGATGTTTTCCTTAATGGTGGTTGCGAACAGAACCGGTTCCTGAGGTTATAAATATGTAAATTCACATGTAATAGTTGGTTATGACTCATGGTCAAATTATTGGCAAAATTATCATTTTAAAATGGACTGAACGTCTCAAATTTGACTATTTCAAAATTTAATTTGATTTGAGAGAGCTAGAAGAAATGTCGTAGACGAAATTGGACGACAAATTAGTGTTTATTGAACCAAAAGTGGTATGTGCAGACTGCAAAGCTTTTATGTTGAATTTAAATTAACAAATATCATTGCTATTATAAGGTTGACTGTCACTACCTGTCCAATGTAGCCTAGACATGAGCCCCTTAACCACTTAGTATCCAGTTCTCCAATATCTCGCCCATCCAGCAAGATAGTACCCTCCTTAGGCTCGTAGAACCGTTCCAACAGGGCACCCACTGTAGATTTACCTGAAATAAGCATGGTATGAGGATTCAGGAGTCATCACATGACATTTGATACCAACTTTAACCCAGCACTCTACTCATCTAGTAGTCACCCAGCAACTGTGAGTTCTGTGTTACAAAATTTCAGGAGCGTCTCGAAAATAGAAAGTGTAGTAAGATGCCGGGGATAACAAAATCAAAATGCAGATCATCGTCATTCCGACAAAGATTGTTTGCAGTCCAAAAAAGAAAATGCGTAAGTCGAAACTCGAAATGCGATTTGAATCGGTGTACTATTCACTTGATATAAGTATAAGACATAAGTCTTGATGATCTTATATATTAGCCATACAGGGTTAAAAGTTTCGGAATAATCAGTTTCATTTCGTTCAAGATTTTTACTTTTTGTGCGATTTATTGTTGTACTGACATGGTAACGAACTTGTAGTTAAATCATAATTAAAATAATAGGATGGGTAGGACAAAGCTATAAAGGCCGGTGGTATTTCTCCTACCCATCCTTTACTGTCACCAAGATGTAGCCAACTTCGGCCAATTTTAACTTCGGCCGAAGTTTGTTTACGTGCTGGTGAAAGTAATGGACCCATATTAACGGGGTGAGGGTGTCTTAAAAAGCAAAAATTTTGCCTTTAAAAATTGTGAACGATCTCGTTCTGTCACCAACTCGTAAACCAACTCCGGCCGAAGTTAAAGTTGGTCGAATTTGGCTACATCTTGATTATAGTTAGACGTCACCAGTAAATCTGCCCTTGTTAAATCTACCACCCTGAATATTTGACTACATTTGTAGGTTCTCGACCATCTAAGTCCTAAGATAGCGTTACATTCTCCAAAAACATTTTTTGTGCTGATACATAAACTTCAGATTAGAGCTACATTTTTGAAGCTATACTTTAGTCTTCAGTCCCTATGTTATGATGTACTGAAATATATGGCAATTACTGTGCGATGATAAAACTTTATTAAATATCACATTGAAACATTTACAAAGCAATAACTTTGGGTATATTGAGTTTCACCTACTCAAAAGAACGTTTACAACAATGTAGTTACCGGCCGGCAGCCACATTTCCTGTTTTTTTTTTCTTATTGAGTTCACTTGCTCATTCCAGTTTCAGGTTGCCCAAAAATGGATGAATTGTTTCTTTTAAATAACAGCACTTCGGGACTGGAGACATCAGTCAACACTTTCCTTCAATACTACATCCCAATCTTAACTGGATTAAGCATACCTCTCAGTTTGCTGAACATTTTAATTTTTATGAACACCGGGATCCTCAACTCCCCCTCCAACCTGATATACTTTAACCTTGTCATCATGGACTTGCTGAACTCTATCATTGGAATCGGGGTATCGGTAGTCATATGGAAAGATTCTGGGTCCAGAGAGCACTGGAGAAATGACACCCTGATTGGACGGGTTGCCAAATACCTTTACCTTTTCACCTTTGATGCAAACATTTTTTTGGTATTCGGACTTGCCCTGATTCGAGTGTTATGGTTGCACATGTCAGCTCTAAGCGTCATCAGAAAGCTCGATATGATATCTTGGATAGCAGTAGGGTTATCTAACTTGCTTGGAATAGGAAGCTGTCTGTATGCGCACTTCCAGAAAAGCCTACAGAAGATGGTTCCTTATCCAGATGCATTCACTGAAGTGATGGATTTGTTCGAGTGCCTGATGATACTGACAACGATAAGCTTGTCAGTGTACACCCAAATCAGGATCAGATACCATAAGTCAAAGATAAACACCTCCACCTACAACAGTGCCAGTAGAACGAGTTTTGTGATCACTCTAAACCTGGCTGTGTCTTATTCCTACTACTTGGTCCTTAACGGAGCCCGGGTCTACTACAAATCCAAGGATAACAACGATAAAAAGTGCAAGGACACCCGGTGGTCCTGGGTAGACATTTTCCTTTGTGATTCCTTGTATATAGGGGTGTCCTGCATGTGCCTCAACAGTTTAGTCAATAGTATTATACTACTGTGCCAGGTAAGATTAAAGCAACAATTCTTTTGAATATTTTTTGATAACGTGTTGATCAAGATAACGCATACATAACAATTCAGCATAAATTCATTGTTCCTTACGACATTTGATTTTCAGAAGCGAACAGCGAAATTTGTTGGGATAAGGCTAAAGCACTTCTGGCTGGACATGAAAAGGAAAGTTCGGTACATGTTTACAGACGACTACGATTACTACTATTTGTAGAAACATGGCCACTGTTGACACTAGTGAGATAGTGCAGTACAGTAAAACACCGATATGCCGCGGCTGTTTCCTTTCCCCAAACTCGGCGGTAAATCGGGGTTTTAATGTACTAGCAGTAAGGCTTATTGAAACCACATACATGATACTGATCTTGAGAATAGCCCGAGATGGTCAGGCTGTGAAAATGAAGTGGATATTTTGGTGTGACTAAAATATAAACGTGTCGTATTTACACTTACAGAGACAAATTGTGATTAGTTTTCTCATTGCACTGATTGTGCACAATAATGGATTTTTAAGTTGTATTGAAAATGTTTAAAATTAAATAAATTATTTTGTTTGAAAGAACCATTAGCGCGCCAATTTGATTATTGGTATTTCTCTCATTATTAGTACGTATCTGTATTATGATTTTTGTTCGACATTGAAAACGTTCTCTTTGAAAACATATTATTGGTCTAAGAAGAATGTAACTTAATAAAAACAGTGACCGTCTCAAAGAAAAATATACAAATATTGATTAAATAAATCCGAATGATAACAATGATTAAAATAATAGATCTCACGGTATCGGCGGAAGAAAATATATATACATGTATTAACAGAAAAAGATATTAATCAATGGTAAAAAGTAAATTAAAAATGTAAGATAATATTTAGGTTACAAAAACAGTGTCCATAACAACGAATATGCACAGTATTAATGAGGGTCCTGCCATTCAAAACAATACTAATGTATCAGAAGAAATACCCAACAAAATTACAAAAGAATTAGATATTCATGTTAACTATTTTGTAGGCCACCTTAAACATATAAACCCTATTAAACCTAACGTGAAATAAATCCAGAGTTTAATAGGATATTCACGAAGTTATTAGAGGAAGGATTGTATTCAGGAGACGATCACACAGGTGATTTGTTTTTGAGGTGGTATATCTATCTTCTTATCTTGGAATTTTATGTGGTATATCTATCTTCTTGTGTAACTTTATGTGATATATCTATCTTCTTGTGTAACTTTATGTGGTATATCTATCTTCTTGTGTAACTTTATGTGCAGTGGTATATCTATCTTCTTGTGTAACTTTATGTGATATATCTATCTTCTTGTGTAACTTTATGTGATATATCTATCTTCTTATCTTGGAATTTTACTACAGTTCATTTAGCAGATCATTTAGTGAGCTCTTTTACGCGACATTGCTTTAATTCATTTTATATCTAGTCTTTTCCTTATCAGATTACAACTGTTGGGCTCGTTCAAGTTGTTAAAGTGTGATTCAAGCTGTTGTCTCCAGCTTTTATAGATAGAGATAATCGTAAGAATCGTTGAATCTCTCGTTTAACTTTCTCTGAACATCCGACCAGAACACTTTCATCTTTCTCACGAGGAACTTCTTCGTGTGTTTCTGAAATTACCATGATTTCAGTCAGTTCTATGTTTTCAAGTGGAAATCATTACAGATCTTTAAAATGAATGCATGCACTTTAAGGATGATGATATTAATCACAACTTCGTGTTGATAGAAATACCTGACAAAGAAGTATAAGATTGTTGACGAGACTGTTGATACACATGAAGGCTACACCTAGGTAGAGGAAGTCACACATGAACATGTCAACCCAAGTCCACTGAGTGTCCTTACATTTCGTCTCGTTATTCCACTTGGATTTGTAGTAGACCCGGGCTCCATTAAGGACCAAGTAGTAGGAGTAAGACACAGCCAGGTTTAGAGTGATCACAAAACTCGTTCTACTGGCACTGTTGTAGGTGGAGGTGTTTATCTTTGACTTATGGGATCTGATCCTGATTTGGGTGTACACCGACAAGCTTATCGTTATCAGTATCATGGCGCACTTTGATAGATCTGATATTTCAATATAAGTGTCTGGGTAAAGCTGTCCTTTATCATTAGAGAATCTCAGATGATGATAAACACAACTCAGGAGAGCTAGTAAGTAAGCCATCCCAACGGACATCCAAGATATCAGTTTCAATTTCCTGATAACAGTAAGAGCAGACATGCTGATCCAGAGAACACGAATTATTACCAGACCAAACACTAGATAGATATTAGCATTTAAGAGAAATACGTAGAGGTAACCGTCTATAAGTTGGTGTAAAGTACCATCCCCCCAGTGACCTGAAGATTTGTGTTCTGTGTCCTTCCACATATCTATTGATACCCCGATTCCAATGATCGAGTTCAGCAAGTCCATGATGACAAGGTTAAAGTATATCAGGTTGGAGGGGGAGTTGAGGATCCCGGTGCTCATAAAAATTAAAATGTTCAGCAAACTGAGAGGTATGCTTAATCCAGTTAAGATTGGGATGTAGTATTGAAGGAAAGTGTTGACTGATGTCTCCAGTCCCGAAGTGTTGTTATCAAAAAGAAACAATTCATCCATTTTCGGGTGACCTGAAAATCGAATGAGCAATTGAATTTAATCAGAAAAAAAAAACAGGAAATGTGGCTGCCGGCTGCGGCCGGTCTAGTCACTACATTTTTGTAAACGTTCTTTTGAGTAGGCGAAATTCAATATATGTACCAGGAATTGGTTGAGCTATTGCTTTGTAAATGTTCCAATGTAATATTTAATAAAGTTGTATCATCGCGCAATAATTGCCATGCATTTTAATAAATCATAGACATAACGGAGGGACTGAATACGAATATAAAGCTTCAAAGTGTAGCTCTTATCTAAATTGATATCAGCACAAAACGAAAAATGTCGGGCAACCTTTAAATTCGTATAACCAACTCAATAAGAAAAATATGGGATGTGGCCGCTGGCCGCCTCATTGTCGTAAATTTTGTTTGAGTAGTTGCAATTCAAATTATATTCAGAGGTCGTACCCTCCTGGTCGCACCCTTCTGGCATGCCAGAAGCGACATTTCAATTCAAAACCCGGAGAAATATGTGTATACTCGTTGCCAGGGTGACGAAATATTTAAAGAAAGTGTTGATTGACCGTTCATATTTTGGCATCCACATAAAACGAAAAAAATTTTAAAACCAGTTCACTTCAAAAAAATCTGAGACGAAGGCAACCAAATGTGTATTTCATGTAGACTGTAGAGTGGCTCACCATCACAAAACTTCGTCCTGAGTAGCATCCGGCATCGAAAGATGAAATTTTGCTGTACAACTTAATAGTACAAATACCGAATCAAATGAATTAAGTAATTTTGACTTGCAGTTAAAACTGCACTGTTTTTAGATCTAAGTAAATCCAATTTCTCCAACAGACTGTAAACCAGATAATGGTTTTGAGATGCAGACATGGTTACCATGGTTACCATGTTTAACATGGTATCAGTCAAGTAAACACAAATCTCATATTTACATCGACACATCTATATTTTAAAAGGCTCCCTCCAATTAATCGAGGAACTCTAAAAGGTTTTTGGTACACTTTTATCACCTTTTAATAGGTCTTCTTTTTGGTCAACCTGGCTCCCATGACGACTTCGAAAAGGTGCCCAACATTCTTGTGGTGATGACTGACTTGACTTGATGGTAGTTCTATAGATATCAAGTAACCATTTGCAGTAATCATCTTCTTGGATCGGGACATTTTGGAGACGGTTGAAGAAGTTTTCAAACAATTTCTTCTTACAGGCTGATTGAAGGTATAAAGACAAATCGCAGTTCTCTAAAAGGTATTTGTATTTTTCTGGAAGGATTTCTCTTGGCGCCTTTTCTAGCTTGATCATCGTAAGATACCTGTGGTGATCACACTGTAAATCGACATACACTGTAATCTGTATATCGACACCCCTATTATATCGCCATTCGATATACAGTGTATGTGAATGTCGATCTACAGTGTGATTTCACACTGTAAATCGACATGTGATCCTTGTTATTATCAATATTATGGACCACATCTTGTCGGTGTATTACCTGTTTATTGGAAGAACAATGCATTCAACTTTGGTACCAGCCAGTTCTATTATCATATCTAGTTTGTGGGTAGGGATATCCCTCTCGTATTTGTCGTACCACTTTATAAAATCTTCTTCCCAGTTCAAGGCTTGGATTCGTTTAAGAGCGATCTCTTTCAGCTTGTAGCATTTACGCTTGGATATAACGAAAGCGGCTTCTTCAAAAAGAAAGAGAAAATCCGGCCAGCAGGGTTCCAGGATCTTATCAGCTATCTCTTTAAAAACCTCCCCACACTTGGCCACTAACCAACTAACCTCAAACACATGAGCCATCTTGTTAACATCCCGGAAAGTTTTACGAGAAACATTGGCCGTGTCTCCTGAGTAAAGTGCTTTAATAAACACCATAACAGCATCCTTGCTAAACTCCTTCATGTCAATAGAGGTGAGGTGGAGCTGGGAGGTCATGTGATCTATGACGGGGCTGTTCAGAGCAAGTACTACAGAGCTGGCACGTGCAGTGTCTCCTTCGCTTGCCTCCAAGGTGATGTTGGAGTGTGTGGGAGAGTCTAGCAGGTGTAATCCGAAGTTCAGAGGAAGGGAAATAGTCATGATAGCTATTGCAGGGACAATTTAGATTAATACGGTAAACACCCTTACAATAATTCAGTATTCTATAAAGGTCCACTATTAGCAATAAACAGATATAGTGTCGTAGCAACTTCTTTGCCGAGTCTCTTCAACCTTAACATCTACAAAAGGTGCATAAAAAACATGCTTATTGATCAGCAAAACGAGGGCATGACAGACGAATGACCTAACTTTATGTTATACAATATAGCGGGACTAAGGAAATCAAAGCGCAACATAAACCGTAATACTGATAACAACCTCGTTTTAATTATAATACCATAAGCACTACCGCTGCCCGCAAGCATTACAAAATCAATTTCACTGCATACCATCTCAGTTACACTGTCAACATTTCACCAGCCACAACGGCATGATGCTATGCGACTGATAACAGTCGTACAAACAAAATTTTGAAATAGCTAGCTAGCTTCAGCTATGCGCCTGTTTCCACTCTATACTCAGAAAGTGGATTAATACGATAATTCCAACTTTACAATTCAAAAGGCAACTTTAATTGTGCTCAGCTATTTTTGTTAAATAAGCTCAATTTTAATAGTTTCAACAATATCTAATTTTGTGTGAGTTATTGACTTTTAGTAGAAAATAATTATTATATATATTTTTTGAGTAAACATTGGCTGGTACTTCGGGCCGGTTACCAACAAACAAAAAATCAACAAACATGATCCCTCATGAGGAGCTGTTAATAAGTTTCACAATGACTGATCAGTGATCTTGCAACTATTTTCAAAAATATATACAAAAATAAAACAGGCCAGCATATAAAAGTACGAACAAATTCGGCAGTTTAAACCTACTAAAAGTAGACGAATAATGTACACTATAGACAGCTTTGTTTTAACTGTACTTCTGAACTACGTTACAGTGTCGTGTATGACAGTCAAATTAGATTTATTCGTTGTATTTATCGTTTTAAAAAATCACGTTGCATGGTTAGAAATGTTCACTATAAATCAATCGCTAGAAGACTTCTTAAATTCATTAATTTTATATTTGGACAGTTTTGCACGAGTTAAAACTAATACACGTGACATGTGCTACACTACGGATACAATTAAAAACTATTTCTATCACTAAAGTAGTAGCTCGTAAGATGCCCCAATTTCTCAATTGCACCAGATTGCTTGACAGCGTATGGGTTAGGTAAAACAATGCTAATACCATGAAAATATTTACGGCTATCCACCACTCAGTACTCAACCATCTCATCCCATTTACCAATCTGGCGATTAAAAGACAAACCTGCGCCAGAAGCCCCACAAAGAGCGACAGTTTGTCCAGGTTTGATATCCAAGTTAAACTCATCCAGAACAGACATCTCAGGACGGGAGGGGTAGGAGAAGGAGACTCCTTTAAAGGAGATCTCTCCAGCCGGACTGAGGAGCACTTCTCCAGGGGCTCTACTTATATCCTCGTCTAGATACTGAAATGTTCAGGGTTAAATCTTAGTGATGTGTTGGAAACGTAATAATTTCGTCCAGCTTAGTTTCAAACACAGTCCTATCATGGTCATCAAATGGGGCGGTCGCGTCATGGTGGCTTCATTACAACAGTAGTATCATGTCATGATTACGTAATGACATTTCATGCCAGTAATAAATTCTACAAACCCTACACTAACCTGGGAGACTCTAGCAGCAGCTGTTGTACCCTTCACTACTTGACTTATCAACAGGCTCATGTTCTGCAGACTCCGCTGAACTATGGTAGACGAAGCGAGGAAGGCCATGAGGTCTCCAGCTCCTACTTGTCCTGTAGAAAGCAGGTAACCTCCGTAGAATAGGGTCTGGAGCACCATTCCTGTGGAAATGTGGACAGTTAAACATGGTGTTAGAATGTAAGGTTGTGGAGAAGCAACGTGAGATGTCTGGAGGTTTAAATTTGATCACGTGGTGACTGGAATACACGTGAGATAATGTGGCCAGGTTAGCCAACGCTCATTGACCACAATTATTATTGGTCTTTACAACATTCATTTTCAGAAAACATATCAGAGCTTTTGAAAGTTAATTGATTCATCTCCAGTGTCAGCACGAGCGGTATTATATTCAAATACTGACAGTGAAGAAGAAAGAGTATTATCCACAGCCAGGTGCTGCTCCTCTTTCTTAGTAAAGATCACAAGTAAATGTGACCTTCACAATAGTGAGCTGAGAAATTACAGACTTCATACTTAATTCAGATTGAACAGTGAGATCGTGTATATTTTATTATGATACGTCCCCCAAGGAGTGGAAGTGAAAGTTGGAGTTCTATATTTAATTTCGTGCGTTAAAGATGCCCATAATTTAAATATGACATGGGGAAAAACGAATCTTTGACATTAAATTAATTACTCGATCTTTTTCGCTGGTCAACCACTACTAGCTTCGCTTCGGTCCCACGACTGTCACTTTCATTTTCAAGTTTAATACTAATATTTTCTCTCACCAAAACTAGCTTCTGCGTCGTGATTTATATTGAGCTATTTCTCTGTCACCACAACCAAGCGTAGGACATATCTGCAGCAGCGGACTTGGTTTGAAGTATCAATGTATCAAACCACCACACCACCACACCACCACACCACCACACCACCACACCACACCACACCACACCACACCACACCACACCACACCACACCACACCACACCACACCACACCACACCACACCACACCACACCACACCACACCACCACACCACACCACACCACACCACCACACCACCACACCACCACACCACCACACCACCACACCACCACACCACCACACCACTAGACCACCACACCACCACACCCCACCACACCACACCACACCACACCACACCACACCACACCACACCACACCACACCACACCACACCACACCACTGTACCACTACTACAAATAGTACCGGGTATAGAGCTGGTCTACATAATACATTATACTCACGTGTAATCTTAACAAGAACATGTCCTACTCAAAAAGCAGCTACAATGTCGCATTGTTCTAGAAGCTCCTATTGTTGTACAGATTTATTCTAGAGCTTTCTCTGCAATCTACAATATTCCGCAGAATAACTCACAACTGTGAATATGAAGCAAGGTTCTGAACTCTACAATCTTCTTAACTACAGACTTGTCTGATTTTGGAAATCAGCTGTTCTAGGAATCATTATCCTAATATAGCAAGCTAGAGTTGCAAAACTCCGCCATGGTATTATTACATGATAGGTTACTTGTTGCTCATTGTGTCTTGGTGGAGACACAATGACATCTGATGTGAATTAGTGAATCCTCTGTCTCTCTTTACTTTTAAGAATCCTAAATATATTGAACAAGACTATAAGGCTAGGGTGTTCAAAAACAAAATGTCGCATTAAAGAACAATACCAATCATTGTACTTAAGCTATAAGTAAGTAAGTCATGAACGCTGAACAGGATCGATCTCCTTAAACAATCTTATTATTCATTATTCAGCAAGTTAAATCTGCGAATGGGCCCACTTTAGTAGTTAAGTAGTTAGCAATTGATAACCGTAAACAAGGTCAGACCACCTCAGTTTTATTCCAAACAATATCTCACAATCTCAACAGTTAGTATACCTTAGGGCTAATAAATTTGGTTCACAATAAATTTGGTTACCATAAATTTGGTTACCATAATTTTAGTCACAGATTTCGCAAATTTTTAGTCTACAACAATTTTAGTCACATTTTTCGACTTTTCGAGACCATTTTCCATTCCATTTACCTTAAGAACGACAAATTTAGTCTACCCCGTCTGAGCATCACAGATTAAGCTGCAATACCTTACTTAGGAATTTCAATAACATCAGATCCATAGTTTGTGACTCTGTATCACTCAGTCCTTCAGTACACTGTTCAGTTTCTTTTTCGCCCTTTTTCGACTTTACCATTTCTGTCGGTACGACGTAGTTTATGTCGATATTATGATCCTTCAGCCGTTTCAACAGAGCATGCAATATGCATTGGTATGGATCGATTAAAAATGTAATGTCCAAGATCAGAGGAGCTCTAACCCTTTAAGTCCCATAGGGGCAACTTGGTCGTTTAGCTCCGGACAGTCTATGCAACGTCTATGCAACGTCCATGCAACAACAAAAGAACCGTCTATGCAACGTCTATGCAACGTCCCTGCACAATGAACACTCTATGCACACTCCCTGCACGGTCAGTCTATGCAACGTCTATGCAACGTCTATGCAACGTCTATGCAACGTCCCTGCACAGTACCATATGAACACCGGCTACTAGCCGGCTACTAGCCGGCTAGTAGCCACTTTTGTAATAACAGCTCCTCAACTTCACATTACCAACCGGCTACTAGCCGGCACTTGAAAAGTGGTCACTAGCCGGCTACTAACCGGCTACTAGCCGGCTAGTGACCACAAAGTGGCTACTAACCGGCTACTAAGCGGTCACTAGCCGGCTATTAGCCGAGCTCTAAAGCAGACCTACTAGTAGCCGGTTCCAAACCGGCTACTAGCCGGCACTTAGAAAGCGGTCACTAGCCGGCTAGTAACCGGCTACTAACCGGCTAGTAACCACCAAGTGGCTACTAACCGGCTACTAACCGGTCACTAGCCGGCTCTTAAGCGGACCTACTAGCCGGTACTCGAAAAGCGGTCGCTAGCCGGCTACTAACCGGCTACTAACCGGCTAGTAACCACCAAGTGGCTACTAACCGGCTACTAACCGGTCACTAGCCGGCTATTAGCCGAGCTCTAAAGCAGACCTACTAGTAGCCGGTTCCAAACCGGCTACTAATAGGTCTGCTTTAGAGCCGGCTAGTGACCGGTTAGTAGCCGGTTAGTAGCCACTTGGTGGTTACTAGCCGGTTAGTAGCCGGTTAGTAGCCGGCTAGTGACCGCTTTTCAAGTGCCGGCTAGTAGCCGGTTTAGAACCGGCTACTAATAGGTCTGCTTTAGAGCTCGGCTAATAGCCGGCTAGTGACCGCTTAGTAGCCGGTTAGTAGCCACTTTGTGGTCACTAGCCGGCTAGTAGCCGGTTAGTAGCCGGCTAGTGACCACTTTTCAAGTGCCGGTTAGTAGCCGGTTGGTAATGTGAAGTTGAGGAGCTGTTATTACAAAAGTGGCTACTAGCCGGCTAGTAGCCGGCTAGTAGCCGGTGTTCATATGGTACTGTGCAGGGACGTTGCATAGACGTTGCATAGACGTTGCATAGACGTTGCATAGACTGACCGTGCAGGGAGTGTGCATAGAGTGTTCATTGTGCAGGGACGTTGCATAGACGTTGCATAGACGGTTCTTTTGTTGTTGCATGGACGTTGCATAGACGTTGCATAGACTGTCCGGAGCTAAACGACCAACTTCCCGCAATAGGACTTTGGTACGGTTTTGTTCAGTAGGAACAGTGATGTCATTATATTAATTATAAACAATGTAAGCTTAATAATATTCAATATTCATGTCATATATGCTCTACTGAAATTTTGGTCTCCTTTAAAATTAGTCGCCGAAAAATTTAGTCTCATGAAATTTGGTTTACAACAATTTTAGTCAAAAGTTTGACTAAATTTATGGTAAACTAAATTTGTCGTTCTTAAAGTTTCCTGCACTTTCAATCCGTACCTTAACCTAGAGGACCCATAACCCATTCATGTGAAATATACAGACCCAGGATCAAAGGAGGGTGTCCCCAATGACTGTTTGCAACCACACCAGAAATGCATCTGATAATAACTCATAACATTACACATTTTACTGTTCTTATCAAGAATTTATTCAGTCGAGTAGTTCTCAGGTTATTAAATATGTTTTAACAGGTGATCTAGGTAAAGAAGCCACGCTCTTAACGTCATATGCAAGTCAATAAAACCATTTCTCTGTTTCAAACTTTTAAGGTTAAAGTGGATGCAATATTTAATTTGGTAGATGCCTGAATACAAAGACCATTGTAGGATAAAGTATGCAGATGACAGGGAAATAAGGATGTTTGACTTGCGCTGCCTCGTGGGAACAAAAGAGATCAATTAAATGCAACCGTGCCAAGATTAGCTTATAAAGGAGCTTCAGGCGTAATGACCATTCCAGAACATTCTAACGTCTGTTTCAGAAAATATTTGATGTCTGACAGTCTGTATTTCCCACCGTGGCAATGGCTTTATACCTCGAGTTCCGTGCTATGATATAGCCTTTTGTTTTGTTCCTATTACACGAACGTTCAACTAACTCATCTCACGTTTGGCGTGTGCGTGATTCGCATTGCTGTAAAATATGTCACGAAATTTATAATCCATAAATACAAGGGGGTGCAAGTGAAAGATGCTTAGTTTTGCGATAATCCCGATATTTGACCCAGTTAAAAAAAAAGTAATATTCGGAATGCGTGATACTCATCTGAATAAGTCGCTGCAACATAATAGTACCTTGGCCTTGTCAATGATAAAGATATACAGAAAAAAAACTTAACCTGTTAATCTTGCTGCCTGTACATAACAATTATGCTAACTTCTTTTTCGATGAGAATTCTGTGAAAAAAATAATAATGACCTTATATTATCTCAACAAAATTGTATGTTGTCTGTACATTAAACTTTACTCAAGACATGGTGACGAATGGCACGTATTGTTTAATGTATAGGCTTGGTTAAAGTCACAGGGAACAATTATAGGAGTGGTCAATTACAAAAATACTGGTGAATATTGAGCATGGAGCCACATTTTTGCATTTGTCTTTTTGATGCAGTCGATTTCCAAACGGACATGACCATAAAAGCAAATAACGACAAATTCTATAAGTAGTTCTAGAATACTAATTCTTGATAGTTGCAGCATTTAGATAAGAATTTCTAGAGTCACAAATCTCAGCTATATAAGGTCAATAACTGTGATAGTGCACACGGCATGACACGGCCCTGTCACCCGTCCCGTAATCGATAATTAGCTACCAACCCTACACCCCCGTCATTAGCAACGTCATAGGCGGAAATTATGACATCGTTTCTGTGGCAACCATCTTGTTGGCAGTCAGCCAACTGTTTTACTCACCACATGTTGCCGGATATTTCAGTCATAAAAACTGACCACCTCACAGGACTGTCTGAAACTCTTATAACAATAGTATCTCGGAGAAAGTGCTATAACACTATATTATGTAGTTGCTGCACAGCCACAATCTGCCCCACCACCCTCCATATTTCGGACAGAGCACTTCAACTCTTTTCAAACTTTCCTGTTCAGATAATTAAACAATATCGGTCCCCAGTGTGCGCCTTTTTGACGAGTTTTCAACCTTAACCACCTGCGTGTATTAAATATCGGAAAATTGCGTTCAGTTTTTGAAGGGCCAGGATGGTGGTTGCCAGGTGTAACAGCTGCTGTGTGGTGGCTCACACCAGTCCTGGTGATACGGCAAGATTAGAGAGAGAGAGGGAGAGATAGAGAGCTAGATCTTTACTCTCTCCTCATAATTCCAACCTGTCTCTGATTTTGTTTTAGTTTTGATTTGCCATCAGATTCGTGTTACATTAGCTGTATCCACTGATTGGGGTACTTTATCAGTTTGTTAGAGAGTGGACGATTAACGTTTGATTTGAGATTTAGTTTTGTTAAAGGGTTGATCTTTAGAGTAAGAATTCATAAGAAAATTACCGCGTTTCTGAATAAAGGCTTATAATGCCATCGACTCTATATCCGAATCGTATGTTAGTGCTACGGGTTAAGTGCTTTAGATAAGTAGATAGAGTATAACAATGGAGCAGTATATTTTGTAAGAGTAAATATAAAGGTTTAACTTAGTGACGAAAAGAATCTGTAATTTTTCTTTGTTAGTTTCTGTCCACAACATTTGCAAAATCGGCTATTTAAACGGCCAGCTTTCCTAGCCTCACGACGAGAGCCAACATCTCCCACTGCTAATGTAAATAGTACAATATCCTCCCTCCCGCCGCCCAATAGTCGATGTGAACTCTCAAATTTCCTCTTGAGTCGGAGATCAGCTGCTATAAATCTGGAACATCTACACTCAGCCCCTAACTTAATGGACAATGGGATATCCTTTTCTCTCTACTCATTTTTAGATTACCTCTTATACGTCACCCCGTGACTCTGGCACGTGCTGTTGACCGGATCTCAGATATGTAGTACCGTTCCCTCATTCGTATACATTTTTTGCGGCGCCCATTTTTCCCTTGATTTAAGCTTGATTAATTATTCTATCAGATTTCGTGTTATGGTAATTTCTATTAAATTTGTATGTAATGATTAATATGAATTAACAAGTGAACTTGATTTCAGTTAACTTCATGACCATTTCACATGATGAGTGGTCTCCCCTGGACAGTCCCCTGCAGATCAGAGCTCCTCTTGCAACCCTCAACTTCCTGATCGCCCTGGTCGGGATCTCCGGCAACATCTTCGTCCTATACGCCTCCATTGTGAAGCGAGCTCTGAAGATAGACCGTGTCTCACTGATCTTCCTGGAGAGTCTGGCCGTGTCTGATATCCTGATGTCAGTTACCGTGTATGTAACTACAGGGGTGACTATCCTGGCTCAGAGGTGGATCTTTGGGAGTGGGTTCTGCTACTTTACCAAGATAGCGACCATGTCAGCTACATACAATGAGACTCTGGCCATTGCCTTCCTCTCCATATACCGGGTCTGGATGCTGAGGAAGCCCCCTTCAGCTAGACAGGACCTCAACATGAAGGTGGTTTATGCGGTGGCTGCTGCACTTCACTTTGTGGGGGTGGGCGTGGTGTTGATTATATATGCTATACACCCAACCTGGAAACTATTGGGAGATCCCAGCAGTGATAACTGCAGCTACACTGACTTATTCACCATTGATGTGAAAGAGACCACCCCGACACACGGCCACAAAGGACTGTCCCTGATCCCAACTCTGGCCTTTGTGGTGATACCCATGGTGATCACAATTGGCACCACAGTCCTCATCTTCAAAGTCTTCGTAGGATACGACCACAAACTGGGGAGAAAGCACGACCGAGCCCTGAGAGTGATAAAACTGCTCCTCTTCGTGTGCGTCACATTTGTGTTGTCCTACACAGCTCTGATAATATCCTCCCTCTTCAACACCTTCAGAGGCTCCTCGCCGGCAGGACTGCGCGGCTCTGTCAACTACTTCATCGCTATTAACGTTATCAGCAACCCCTTCATCTATGTGGTTATCAGCCCTCATTTCAGAGGTTATCTCAGACAGTTCGGGAGGAAGGTTAAATCTGTTATAAAGAGGAGGAGACCATCTGTAGACTTGGAACCTAACAAGCAACACAGTTCCATTTTCAGGAGACACTCCACTTTCAATAAGAGTGAGAACAGCGAGGATTTGGTCACTAATAATTTCAATAAGGAAAATAGTGTGGATTTGGTCACTAATAATTTTGAAAAGGAGAATAGTGTGGATTTGGTCACTAATAATTTTGAAAAGGAGAATAGTGTGGATTTGGTCACTAATAATTTTGAAACGGAGAATAGTGTGGATTTGGTCACTAATAATTTTGAAACGGAGAATAGTGTGGATTTGGTCACTAATAATTTTGAAAAGGAGAATAGCGTGGATTTGGTTTCTAAATATAGGACCACTAGTATGTAATGTCAACAATTATTCAATAATATCAAGAATCGAGATATTTGTACCATGTGTGACACGAATAATTAACTGAATTGAATAATTATTACCCAATTTTGTTAGCATTTTGCTAAAAAACTTTTATTTGATGTTCCAATTTCTTTCAGTGTTATCCGATTAAATATTTACGGATTCCTTTAAATCTTTTAAATAACTATAACTTTTGATTTTGAATTTTGATATTAACGAATCATTGTACTATTTTTGAATTTTGATTATCTCCGATTTTTTCTTAGATTGAGTATTTCCAATGTTTCAACAGTATTCTAGCTTCTAGACTCTAGACTCTAGTATTCTAGCTTCTAGACTCTAGACTCTAATATTCTAGCTTATAGACTCTAGACTCTAGTATTCTAGCTTCTAGCTTCTAGACTCTAGACTCTAGTATTCTAGCTTTCAGACTCTAGACTCTAGTATTCTAGCTTCTAGACTCTAGACTCTAGTATTCTAGCTTCTAGACTCTAGACTCTAGTATTCTAGCTTCTAGACTCTAGACTCTAGTATTCTAGCTTCTAGACTCTAGACTCTAGTATTCTAGCTTCTAGACTCTAGACTCTAGTATTCTAGCTTCTAGACTCTAGACTCTAGTATTCTAGCTTCTAGACTCTAAACTCTAGTATTCTAGCTTCTAGACTCTAGTATTCTAGCTTCTAGACTCTAGACTCTAGTATTCTAGCTTCTAGACTCTAGTATTCTAGCTTCTAGACTCTAGACTCTAGTATTCTAGCTTCTAGACTCTAGACTCTAAAATTCTAGCTTATAGACTCTAGACTCTAGTATTCTAGCTTCTAGCTTCTAGACTCTAGACTCTAGTATTCTAGCTTTCAGACTCTAGACTCTAGTATTCTAGCTTCTAGACTCTAGACTCTAGTATTCTAACTTCTAGACTCTAGACTCTAGTATTCTAGCTTCTAGACTCTAGACTCTAGTATTCTAGCTTCTAAACTGTAGACTCTAGTATTCTAGCTTCTAGACTCTAGACTCTAGTATTCTAGCTTCTAGACTCTAAACTCTAGTATTCTAGCTTCTAGACTCTAAACTCTAGTATTCTAGCTTCTAGACTCTAGACTCTAGTAATCTAGCTTCTAGACTCTAGACTCTAGTATTCTAGCTTCTAGACTCTAGTATTCTAGCTTCTAGACTCTAGACTCTAGTATTCTAGCTTCTAGACTCTAGACTCTAGACTCTATTCTAGCTTCTAGACTCTAGACTCTAGTATTCTAGCTTCTAGACTCTAGACTCTAGTATTCTAGACTCTAGACTCTAGTATTCTAGACTCTAGACTCTAGTATTCTAGACTCTAGACTCTAGTATTCTAGCTTCTAGACTCTAAACTCTAGTATTCTAGCTTCTAGCTTCTAGACTCTAGTATTCTAGCTTCTAGACTCTAAACTCTAGTATTCTAGCTTCTATTGCGTAAAAATGCGTAACTTAACCATGCACCGAATATACTACTATTCCTACTAAATTTGATCTTTAATTTGAATATGACCGGTTATCTGATCTTTACGATGATAAGATGATAACATTACGAATCTTAAATAAACCATAAATGAATAAGCTCGTAAACCGTTCATCTATTATCTTATTATTAAGAGAAGTTGTGTACCCATTTGGGGCAGAAATGCTGCTTTTGTGTACGATTAGCCACGGCTGGGTGGTTTGTAACCCGCTGGCTGTTATTTCTTCATAACAGTAATTTAGGAATTACTGGTAGAAACAGTACATTTAATATAACCGGTAGTGTCACACTGCTCTTGAAGCTAATTTTTGGAACAACATAATTATCATAGAAGTTTCTGGAACCTTGAGCAATGTTTTGAAGCCCCCAAAATGTATAGTAATATTGAGACTATTTGTCACGAGAGCAGCTCAGAGAGTTTATCAAAAATTAGGGATAATTTTATAACTTAAAGATTTCTAACCATTAGTAGCTAGAGCAGACGCGGCAGTAAAGAGACCAATACCAATACCCAACCCCGAGTATGCAGTCGCTGCGGTATCAAGAGAGCCCTCATACTTCGCCACTTCCTCCTCTTCCATAGCAAAGCTCTTGACAGTCACCAGGTTTCCCAGTACTTCCTCTGCTAGAGAAGTCGATGCAGCCACCTGGATAACGGGTAGGGAGTTGAATATTTAATATGGCCCAAGTGGGAAAAATTACTCTTATATTCATGTACTTTTGTGGATGATTAAGGCGATAAAATTGAAGGAAATTCTATAATCATCTATTCTACTGAAATTCAGGTAGGAGAACACTCAGAACAGGTGCCATGGGACTTATGCTCTGGCTCTCTGATGTTGAAAAAAGGTCACATTTACTACAGATATTAGACTATTAGAGTTTTAAAGAATTGCCAACACACACCGGTCACTAATATCCACAATAACTTACATACCTTACTCGGGAATATTATAACCGGGATAAAGTGGTGGGTTTTGGAAGATTCCGCCATATTTTTCCCGGTCAAAAATTTTACCAGTCATAAAAAATTCCGCCGACTCAGATTATGGGGTTCCAAGGGGGTGGTGATCATCATATTTTACCTGAAGTCTCATATGTGCTAGAGAATACTTTTGAAGCAGTGGATGGAGGGCTGTAACTTTATTGGCGGTTGCTACCATAATTTTGTTATAAAAATCACAATTTGGTTATAGAAATCAGATTTCAGGGTGGACCGTGATTCTCACTTCTCTTGCCCATGAATCAGTGAATCGTAGAGAAGAAAACAATTTATATGTTATAGAAGAAAACGAAAATAATAATAATATATAATATATATTATAATAATAATGTCACTAAAGATTGATCGCTTCTCGTGTGCAGTGTGTAGACTAAAGAAAGAGTGAGTTTTTCCCGTTAAAGTAACTTGTGGCCACATCCCGCTAGAAGTGAGTAAACTGTGCCACTATTTCATGGTCCACGGTGGATTGATTACTGGAGCAGTTGAAGATGCAAAGCCAAGACGTTCCCCAATACCAAGCGGTGGGCAGGAAATTAAGCTCCGGCTGACCTTCAGAGCAGTAGCCCCATTAGCGGACAAAATGAAAGTCTTGTTAAGACAACAATACAACTTCGAATTTGACGGTCAGCAGCTCAGGGGGATATCAATAATGATAATGGCGGGGACATTAGCGATAATGAGAATGAGAATACGCTTTAATGAAGATTTGACTTATTATTGCTTAGATTTATTTTCCTTTAAATAGACGTGTCTTTTTTTTCTATTTCTGAGTAATATCAATAACTGTAAATTGAAATAACTTCTTTAACAAGTAACAAAAACAGAAATTTCGGTTGAAAATTTGTTGACCTCTGAAAAAAACTTGAAAGGTCGGCCACCGGTAAATACATGACCGGGATAATTTGGCGGGTTTTGGGAAAGTCCGCCATATTTTTCCCGGTCATTAACTTTCCCAATCATAAATTAACCCGCTATAATATTCCCGAGTAAGGTAAGTTAATATATAACAGTTGATGACAGCAATTGCCATGCAGATTACAGGTAGCCTGGTTGAGTTTTTAAAGAGCCAGTTGTCAGTTCAAACTTATCTGAAATCCGCACAATAAACTCTGTTTATCAAGATTTGTATATCTTAATAAACAGAGTTTTATAAACAATAGAAATGTTCCTAACCTGATCCTGAGCATGCCTAGAAGCAGCTCTAAGGAGAGACCCCATGAGACTACCGAGGGAGGTGAGAAGGAAAGCAGAGCAGAACAACACAGCAGTGAGACAGGGGGAGATACTGTAGAGGGAGATACAGGAGCCAGTGAACTGGACTGTGTTGCGGATACCCAGGGATATTATCTGTTTCAGCGAGCTTTTCACTTCTTGTACGTCTCCGGTTAATCTGTAAAGAAGCTGGGTTAGTTCATTGGGTTTAAGTTTTAAGATTACATAGTACCCTGTATTATAATGTGCTCTGTTGAAATCTATATATCGGTATTTTTATTTCAATCTCTAAAATGGCAGAGGTCCAGCTCCTAGATCGCCTCTCTTTTAAATCACTTTACAATGAATTCTAACAAAAAATCGTAATAAGCTGCTTCTTGATCGCCTGCCAGCAATCTCAACTTTGACACCTCAACAAAAATCAATTACTTTCTAACTACCACGCACCTGTTGATGAGTTCTCCAACTTTGTGGGTATCGTAGAAGGACATGTCCCGGAACACTAAGGACCTGAAGAGTGCAAGTCTGATCCGACAAGCAAACCTCTCTCCTATCCCAGACAGGACCGTGATGTAGAGAGCTGTACCGAGTGCCTGGGGAGAAAATGTGATTAGGAGCCCTCTTTAGAGATATTATGGAATATTTATTGAGATTTATTTTTTAATGTTAACGATTGATGTTGGATGTAAACGTAGCATGGACATTGAACAGGGTGGTTTTTAAAGGTATCTAATTCTAAATTCCGGGTATTTAAATTCCAGGTATTTAAAGTCCAGGTATTTAAAGTCCAGGTATTTAAAGTCCGGGTATTTAAATTCCAGGTATTTAAAGTCCAGGTATTTAAATTCCAGGTATTTAAAGTCCAGGTATTTAAAGTCTAGTTATTTCGTATAATTGTTTCAGGCAGCGGCTGAATCCTCCGTTATCACGGGATTGTAACTCTAAGTCTGAACACTCCAGGTCTATAATTAGTTATATATCGGCTGGTCGGAAGAGCAGGTGGTCTGCTACTATTACTATTTGATCGAGTTACGACAATATCTAATAAAATGTATTATAACAGTACTCGGTAGTTAATTAGATAACCGTAAGTGTATCACGGAGGGTTGAACAATGAAGAGATTTAATCCTCCCTCAGTGGATCTGTCCAGGTGCTGGATATAACATCAGACCCTTCATTTTCTTCGCAGCGACATTTTATCATTATGATGTCTGGTAGTGTAAAATGATTACACGGTTATGTCTAGATCTGACAACATGTTCGTCTGGCGATGTCTACAGTGTACCTTTCTAATATCATATACCGATTATTTAGTGAGAGTAAGTAAGCAGCAGCTGCATGTCTGGACCAATAATCATACCCAAACACCATTACCGGCCCGGGCATTAGTTTAAATTAATTATTTACTATTTTTAGTAGATTACTAATAGCTTAAGTGAGTATAGTAGTATGATCTGAGTACTAAGATCTAAGACTAATTAACACGCCTAATTATAAGAATTTTCTGTTTTACACGTACTCACTGAGGACCACAGTGTAAATATCAGACTTTTGTAAGCAGATTATTAGTAATATTATTAGTATTACAACAGAAGGAAGAAGTTGTTGGGGCCATTGTTAAATGGGTATGACATAATATGGAGGCCGGCAAAAGTGGGCTTTATTTTTTATACCATCTGGAAACTTAAACTAGAAACTTAAAACTGGAAAGATAAATAAGATGTAAAATTTAACCCAAAAGTATGTATTTGAATCGAGATACGCCGTACGCGTTTAAAACACTAACATGAAAGCAGTAGTATTTAAGAAGCTGTAGAGCAGGATGCCGTATAGTGCCGAGAAAGGTGCCGTGCGAGTAAGAGTTCAGTGAGTTGAGAGCTGTGGTGAGGTTCCCGAGTGCTAGGGGGATGAGGGTGTTGTAGTAGGCTACCCCTGCTGCTAACAACACGGCTAGTATCAGGGCCGGGATATCGTCTTTTAGATACCTGGCAGGGTGAAATGTTAGTGTGTACTGTTGATTGGTTCAATGATTACTCTAGTTTCATTAACTGTTAATCTTTTCAAGTTTTTAAAATGTAACGGGAAACCTGATCAGTGTGCTTTGAGCGAGCAAACAGTGTGCCATTAGTGAGCAAACAGTGTGCTCTTAGTGAGCAAACAGTTTGCTCTTAGTGAGCAAACAGTGTGCCCTTAGTGAGCAAACAGTGTGCTCTTAGTGAGCAAACAGTGTGCTCTTAGTGAGCAAACAGTGTGCTCTTAGTGAGCAAACAGTGTGCTCTTAGTGAGCAAACAGTGTGCTCTTAGTGAGCAAACAGTTTGCTCTTAGTGAGCAAACAGTGTGCTCTTAGTGAGCAAACAGTGTGCTTTGAGCAAACAGTGTGCTCTAAACTACCTGAGAATAGAAAAAGAATCCCCCTGAAACTCGCCCACATCCTCGTATCTGTTCAGGTTCCTGGTTAGTACCGTACTGTTCAGTCTCTGTGTGGTCTTGACTTTAGCAGCAGCTCGTAGAGAAGGGACACAGAAGTAATAGCCCACAGGAAACATGAGCGCCACAAACGTGGGACTGCATCCTTTCAGAGACCTCGCTGCTTGGACCACCTGCGCACTGCCTGAAATGTGGTTATTTAGTTAGGTTACAGCTCAGTCAGCAGTTCACTGTGGTTTGAATATTTGTGACAAACAAGCTGATGGTCTAACGGAGCTTTTGTAATTTGTAATGGACAGCTAGATAGTATAGTATGGTATAGATAGCAAGAGGAGGGATGGTGGTGATGAGTTCAATTAATGCATTATTTGCTTTGCTCTTAATGGCAAAGATTATTGTCTCCTGTCATTGGTCTATTCTCATGTGTTTTCCAACTTCCAAGCAATATAGCCCAGGAGGCACTTAGTGACAAAGGGAGGTGCGATACACCTCACAAAGACGACTAATTGAATTAATTAAAGGTTTTAGCTGCACAATAAGTTAGTCAGACAGTTCGACTGCTACTGCTTCTTTTGACATCACAATCGATTCACAAAGAAAGAACAAACCTTTTATTTCATTTGTAAAAAATAACATCATGCTGGTCACATACAAAGATGAAACGAACGTATACAGAACTAAATTTGTTTAGAAAATCATATTTGTAAAAAAATACCGAGAAACTCGAAAAAAAAAAAAAAAGGGGGGACTGAAAAAAGGATGCTCTGCCTGCTTCATGTTACTTGTTTTATAAATTACCATCTTTGTTCTTGAATTTGTCAGTTTCAACCAGCTCAGATGCTTTACAAACTGAGCACACAAACCTTTTAGCTTAAGTTCGAAACGTTTTCTTCATTTCTTGTCAAAATTTTGCACGAGTTAGGCTTTTTGAGAGTTTTTATCAGATGTTCAGTGTCACAATGATCGGTAATTTGTTTTTTAAGGTCCTATCAAATAATTAAATGTGGTCGTTAAACCGCCTGGTTCAGTTCAGCTTCAAGTCCTAAAATCTCCTCTGATACCCGACCCCGTGAAATGAACGCAATAAATCCCGATTATGAAGAAAATTATAATGTTCGAAAAATTACAGTTACAGTTTTATATATTTAAATCACAGTCCGACTACCTATGTGATGAAAAAGCAAACAAAACAGTCACATTCGGCAAGATAATACATGTATATATCACAGATAAGTTATGAAACCTTCTGGGCGTTTTGAGTCCATCGGGATAGAAAACCTCTAAAAAACAGTTGATATGACTTTAAAGATTGATGTTTTTACTAAGCTAAGAGTTAATTTTCTACCCAAAAGATGCCATTAAACTGTTTGAAAGAAAAGTTTTTAAAAATTGTGTATTTAATGCAAATGCAATATAGACATAAAATATGACTATATGCAGGTTCACATAAGCGGGCAACTTACTTAAACGTCAGTATTTTGTATTTCCTTTGTGGTTGTTAAAGACGTTCCTCTCAATGATATTCGGGCCATTGAATATACGCTGAGATGTTCGGATAAGGAACATTTTGTATATATATGTATATATAAGTCAAACCTGCTCAAGCTAGAGAGCCATGGCAGGGCCAGCAAGCAAGGCCCGGACCAAAACACACTGAGCCGAAAAGGTTTAAAAATAACAATACGTATGAAAAAATAGTAATAATAAAGGTATAAAGATACTGTAAAGGAGGGACAAACCGGGGCCCCTCCACGGGCCGAAGAGATAAATGTTCCTGTATGTTGGGAAAATTTGGTATTGATGGTCTTACTGTAGCAATATTTAAATGTGTATCAGCACACTTGCAAGAGAGCATAGTGGTCTTGACATGAGTCACTCGTGCTAACAGTTCTTGAAGATTTATAAACTGTCACCATTGCTTTTATAGAATGATATTCTTACAACAGTGCTTTTATTAGTTCAATGTCCACATTATACAACAGGACCCTCCTCTCATCTTTTACGATTGCAATTTTTGATGGCGACCTTTGTTTCGACGCCTGACAGACTAAGACCTTCTTTCACGGATGAATAGCGCTTTACTCCCTCGCGAATCTTTTTTCTTTCCTCTTCGACGTTTACTTCCTTGTCCATAAGGATGTAAATCTTCGGGATGTAGATGCTGAAGAGGAAGGCTGTTGAGGTGATGAAGATCACTACAGCACGCAGGACAGCTCGAACTTCTGGAGGAGAAAAACCGTAGCCTGCCAGGAACATGATGGAGCACAACAGCACCACAAATGTGGCACAAAATATGTTGAGGGACTCTCTGAAGTTGTGAGGAAACTTCCTCATCTTAAATGCCAGGACCAGGGTAATGAGGAACGATAGACCTGGCATAACTACTGGAATTATCAGGGTCTTGCTATTGATGCTGGTACACGTTAGGTACCAGGGTCTATGAGGCGCTTCCTGGTACCTCTTAAAGGCCCAGCTGGGTCCACCTCCGGTGTAGCTGTCAATGAGAAGGATGATGACTGTTATCGACAGGGTGAGCAAGTTGAAGGCAGTCTGGCCTGTTTTCTTAAGGAACACACCTAACTTGGGTGCCGAAAAATTTTGGGCAGCAGCAAAAATATCGTAAACTTTAACGCACTTATAGAGCAAGTTGGTAGATATCAAAGTAGCAAAAATTGCGAAGCAGTAATACTCCGCTGAGCAAGTTTCGGTCGAAGGTTTGAGAAGAGGAGTCAAAGCCGTAGGATACCCGATCAGCAAGCTTAGTAGAACCATATAGAGATAGCCTGGGTCGGAAGCTTTGATAACTGGCCTATCCTCATGTCTAAAGATGACAACACCGAAGACAATGACCATTGATATACCAAGCGGCATACTCGAAGCTCCCACAATAAATGTTGTTGAATTTGGCCTAATATATATTTCTGGGGCCAAGACACAAGCAGTGTGATTCTCAATGGCTGACATAGAGTGATCGCATGCTTTGCACAAATTGGTATTATATTCGATGCTGTATTGGTCAAGCTTGCAAGGTTCACAGGTCCAACAGCAGGGTACATATTGGACACTCTCGTCAAAAAGGCGATGGGTGCCTGGCCTGCAGGTATGCGAACAGGTTTTGTTGTAACCTGATATACTTTCTAGAAGATTTTCGTCACTGACTTCTATTCGGTCAAAAAATGCCCTTCCTAGTGTGCTGAAATTGCCTGTCTTCGTTCTGTAGACCCCGATCTTGTAGCCCATATTGACTGTCTTGTTGAACATCCTGATGGGTAGTGTTACATTCTTTTCCAGAGTAACATTCAACGTTCTATTCTCATTGGAAATTTCTTCGAACAGCTCTGTTCTGTAGTCCATCAAACAGTCATCTTTGGGTTGTTTATTTTTTGCCAGAATGGCATGAAGAGATTCTAGAATCAGCTCAACTCCTCCAACCATATAGGGAATCCAACTGGTAAGTTTGCAATTCTTTGGCTCGACCTGATCCTTTGGACATCTGTAACTCTGTACCTTCTCATAGATGTTGTCGATGAGGTCTCGTTTGTCAACCTGTCTCCAATCTTTGTTTAAATCTTTTAATGTTTGTTCCATTTTAATATTGAGGAGATCTGGTAGTTGAAGTATAAGAGTATTGTCTCCAGAGTTGTTGAGGATTTGTGCGTAGTCGTCCAGGTAACTTAATCGCCCGTTAGATAATCCAAGTATGTAGATTTTATCTCTGAATCCTAGGTTACCAACCATTTCTTGTAGCATCACTTTGGACGTTGATATAGAATTTTGGAGAATGAGTTGAACCCGTGAAGGAGTTCGGCCAGTTTCATTGTAGGTTTGCTTTATCCTTGGAATGTGTTCTTTGTATGTGACATCAGTTATTCGTCCACATCCTACTTTCTTGACGTAGCTGTTGTATATGTGCTCGGCCATATCTTTAGAATATTTGTGGTACCAAATGTCCATATATCGATAACCCATCTTTTCTAAGAATCGAATAGTTATTTCCGCTTCTTTGACTTCCGTGTCGATCATGGAAAATAGAGTTGGATATGTACTAGCTGTCATCAACTCATCATCATTAAACATGTAGACGAATGTGGGGATGTGGAATGAAGCTGTGGCTTGGGCAGATCCTTTGATGTAATCTTTCCTGTCGACTCCAGAAACTCCTACAACCTTTTTGTTGCTAGCAAGTGCAGCAGAGGCTCTTGCTGTGACAGCTGAACTCATGCACGTGTCATACATCTCGTATCCCAGAGTCTTGTTGAAATCCCTCTTGAATCTTTCATTTTCTTTGTCTATTATCATCTTAAGGACGATGGCCTTCTGGATGTTATATTCTTTAATCCCAGTGTAAGAGCAAGTTTGAACTGGTATTTTAGTGCCGTTATCATCGTCTGTGTACTCGAGCTGACCTATATTGAACATTCCTCCGATGATGAAGTCTCCGTCTTTTGCAGCAATTGGGGTATCAAGATACCGCACCCGACAAACTCCCTCGTCCTCACCAGCTATCGCTGGTAAAGCTAAGGCCAAGAGGAAAAATATTGCAAACATTACACAATATCTCACAATTGATGTGTTCTTTACAATTAGAACGGGTCCACTGATCTTATTCACGATCGTTCTTTAGTACCAAAACGGACACGGACACGTTCGTCGGACATGAATTAAAATTGTAATTTGTTGGTTATTAGGATTGTTTATCATTCTTTTATCACAATATGAATATATCCTCATATTCATCAGATGTTGCAAGCCTAAAATTGTTTCAATTTAAAATTGTAAGCATCTTATTATTGGTTCATTATTACATGTATGTGCAATGTCTCGAGGTTCAGATTGTGACTTATCGCTGTGCAGTGTGCAGTCACAATGCAATGAATTCAAATTAGATTTTATAAAGCATAAAATCATGCTTTGGGATATGTTTTGGTCTAACTACAGGAGTCTATTATGTTATTGTCGCTCCTTTGTTAGGACATTGCATCTTATTGTGTCTATTTTTGGTGTTTTGATGAAAGGACTATATAAAGATAATCTTTCAAATTATAACTTTATAATATACTAGAAAGCCTGTGGTAACAGGGACGAAGCTAGTAGTATTCTTTGAAAGAAAGTTTTAATCGCATCAAAAAAGATCCATCCCGACCGAAGATACAGCCGATTTGAATATAAAACACTTTAAACACAACGTAAATGTAATTACCACAAAACCGATCAAAATGACGTTAAAACAATCTTTGCACGTGCATGTGTGCATTAAACACCGTTGCTATGGAACCTTTTAGTTGTTACCTAAATTCCTTTTTTTTCATCTAATTTGCACGTGGGCGGTCGTACAGTGTACAGTGTACGTACAGAAAGAATTCTCTGAATTATAAGTAAGACTAGAAAACCCATGGTCACAGGGAGGAAGCTAATAGTATCCTTTGATAATAAGTTTTTATCGTATAAAAAAATATCCATCACAACCGAAGATACAGCCGATTAAAATATATCTCGCACTGAACACAACGTAATTACCACAAAACCGATCAAAATGACGTTAAAACAATCATTGCACGTGCATGCGCTTGTAACAAACCTCGTTACCATGGTTACTGTGCAACCTTTTGCTTTTTTGCCTAATTTGCACGTGGGCGTAGGGCCTGTCGTGATATCATGGATCGCTTAGGTTCCACCAGGATCTGGTAGTCCTCATAATTCTGCGGCCTCTATGTATCGTCATCTCGTACAACTCTTTAAGAATCTTAGGGATTTGGCATGTGAAAATTTGCAGCCTTCCAGACATTGATTGGGTTAACGAGGTGTCGTACGTCACCTCAAGATCGGGTGACAGGGGGCTGACCAGGCCAGAACCCAATTGATTGGGTCTGAGGTCACGTGATTATGAGCCTGAGGTCACGTGACTATGACGTCACCAGACCTTGTTCTCCGTTTCCTGCTCATTGGACCAGGTGAGCTTGCATGCTTGTGAATGTGGGTGTAAGTACAGCTGTACTGTAGATTATACCTAATTAACCCCTATAGAAACCGAAAATTTATTATCTGGCAGAAAGCTAGAAATTACCAAAATATCGACATTGTTATAAATTTATTTTGATGACCATTCCTGACCTAAAATTGCACGAGAAATCGATTAAACTTGGTTTCAGGACTCAACAATGCTTCTTTATGCCTTAAAATCCATGTTTTCAGCAATCAAGAGGCAGGAGCGGCGGTAGCTTTAAATCAATGGTTTACGTTATTTTTGTGAATTCGACCCCTGTTGTAAACAGTTATCTCACTTTGTAACTGCATATGTATCGAGGATAGCTTTACAAATAAGAGTATCAGTAAATAAAATTGCCACAAGTGTTTCTTTCACTCACTTCGATAAGACACATTGGAAATTCTTACTTCCATAAGATTCGGAATTTTTTTAAACGCCGAAAGTAATTCGGAATTTTATAAAAATTTATAATCCCACACTTTCAACCTTTAAAAAACGGTTTAAAACGAAAAACAAATTTTAATTTTCAAGTTTGGGCCCAAACGCTGAAAAATTTTTTTTCCCATTTTAAAACTAAAAAGGGCAAAGTTGGTCCCTAACCCAATTTTTGGGTTTTTTTTGATTCATTTAAAATTACTAGTAAATAAAAACACTTTCTTATAAAATTACTCACCGTTCAAATTGCATGACCAATGCCTAAAGTGTTAAATTAACTTTCGATTATTAGTTAAAATAAATTTAATCCATAAAAAACCAAAATTTTTCGTGTCCCCCCTAACTAAAAAATTTTTAATCGTTTTTTTAGACGGGAAAAACATTCGGGAATTTGAAAAAATGTAAAAAAATGATCAACAACCAGAAAAAGAAACCTTTATTGAAAAAAATTTTTATTTTTTTCCCTTTTTCCAAAGTATTTTCTTTATAAAAATTTTTTCCTTTTGTTTTTAAAGTTGGTTTGTACACCCGATAAGCGTAACGCGAAAATTTCAAAATTATGCCGAAATTTACGCGAAAATGCTAATTATGCGAAATAGGCAGAAAATGACAAAATTGCGGAATTGCGTGAAAATAATAAATTATCGAAATTGCGGAAAAACGGTAAATTGTGCGATCCCGCACCATCGCACCTAAATGGCCTCTGTGTTCAAGAACTAAACAGGAAGCGTGAACAAAATTGGTAACAAGGGATTTAGCGCAAAGTTTTTGCAAGCCATGCAGCTCATGGAAACACCAGCATAACATGGATCAAAATCAGAGGGTACACGTTAGTCAGAGCAGTCCGATGATACAGCTGCAGGACCAAGTTATAAAACACAGGAGCAACTAATATCTGCAAGAAGACTTCCTAAGGCGATAGAGTTAACGAACATCTCCAAACTGGGTTTTTTTGAGGGTTATCAGAAAGAAGTCATTTCAGTTAAACAAATTTTAGGCGATGTGGTGAATTCCGTAGTAGCGAGAACTTCAGCTCATTTGCTACAGAATCCAATAATCATTGCCAAGCAAATTTGCTTTGGAGGGGGAGTTGGGTAGGAACATCATGGTCTTTGGGCTATGCGAGAGGTCAATGAGGAGAGCAATACAAAAGTCGCTGAATTATTGAATCATTGGAAGAACCCCCGAGTTGAGCTTTGTAGAATCGGCAAGAAATCACGTCAGATGCAAGAACCGGTAAAGTTTCCTTTCCAGTTCTTCGATTTGCAACAAAATAACTGAATAAGTCGAGTAAACTGTGTGGAACAAGAGATTTAAGAGGGTGTTCCAGCTCCAGATCGACAGCAGAAGAGAGAGCTCCAGCGTAAAGAACTTGTCCTAGAGCTAATAAGAAGAGCTGGTATTGATAAGGACAAAAACTCTTCATGCGGTGAAGGGAAGATTGGGCCTGAGAGTGCAAAAATGAGTTTCTAAATATTTTTCGTGTTGTGACAATCAAAAAGTTTGCTCTATGATAATTGAGTCTTCTTGTTGCTTATTTTTTGTCGAAGGATCTAACCTTTTTATGTCACTTATACAATACTGTATAGTTTTTCAAGGATTAATCTGTTGATGGCGAAATCTCTGTTTTCTGAGATCGCTGAGTTTTCATTACTCTTTAGTCCAGCTGGTGCGAGCCTGATGATATACATGTATATTTTTACAAGTTAAAAGGGCTGTTCAATACTATTTTTAGTTAAACATAACTGGGGTAGTATAACCCAGTCCCAATCAATCCAAAAAAACAAACATAGCATCAATGAGAAAATTGGCCGTATTTCATATCACGCATAAATAAAGATTTAAGCAAACCCTGTTTCGTGTACCTGCAGTCCTGAACATACTATCAATCATTAATCTTATCTGGATTCTAACGGTACGGTTAAGAATTGATATATCAATTATCTGTCATAGTTTAACTTTTTAAATTTTATAAATCTTCGAGATGAGTGGTGATAATACTAATATAAATTATTAAAACCGTTCGAGTTGAGCAACAATGATATGGATGACATGATATCAAAATGATTTCAAAAATCATTATCGACAAGATTATTCAGTTATTCAAAAAACACGTTTCGACAATTGCAACGTGAATGATAAATTTAAAAGATGATTCCTGGAAATAGTACAGGGAAATCCGTCTGAAAAAATCGATCTGCGGACACACGGAAGCGTTCAAGGATTTTTTGACGTTTTTGAGTCCCTTAAGATGCCCTTTATGGCTGACCAACTTTTTCCAACTTTTTCCACGGTTGGCTTAAGGGCCACTTTTTGCCACTTTCCGACTTTTTGCCACCTTTCTTGTTGCGAATATCTTAAGTTGTGAACATCGTACAAGTTGCGAATAATCCGAGTGTGTTCATAATATCATAAGAAAAACTTTTTGTCCTGAACAATTTGTACGTCCAGATCATAAGTTAATGATAATTGAGTAAATCAATTAACCAATTAGCACAATTCTAAAAAATTTAATTTATTGCTAAAATGATCGAATAGTGAAAACACGGGAAAAGTAGTTTTTATATAAAAATTTGAAAATTTCCAGCTTACATTTTTTTTTCGAGAATCGAAAAATTTCGAAAATTCAAAATATTTTTTTCCGCCAAAAGTAATCAAATTGCAGAAAACGCGGAGAAAAATGATTTTCAAAAAAAAATTAGTCAATATTTTCGTTTCAAGAAATACGTAAATCCACCAATATTTGTAGTTGAGTTAGAAATCTCGCAGATTTTAGTAATAATCAGAATTACTAAAACTCTAAGTGAAAGGTCTGAAACTGAAAAACGTTAAGTTGAACCATAACATCGTGATATAGATTCATAACTAATTACAATACAGCCTTATCGATTTTTTCAACAGAAACTGCACCAAGGGCACAGTCAAGATCGAGACAGATAGCCTGCTTACTGGTCATTTTTATTGATTTCAAATGATGAATCAGTGGGGTTAAGATTTGTAATAAATAAAAACCTCTCTGTAACGTCAATTGTGCTAATCTAAAAACCGGCCTACCTGTTATTACCAGACCTCTCGTTTCCTCAACAATCAAACAGATTTTCATATCGCATTTTGGTGGGTGATGTAAACTAAGTAGTAATACA